CGTATTATCATACTGCCCGCGGATAAGGGCCGGTCAACGGTCGTTATGAATCTGCGAATCCGACTCAAATCGCAATATGTGTAAAGAACTTCCACTGCACCGATGGCAGCCTTAAACAACTGTCAACGAATGATGGTTTGGGATAGCTATTAAAGCCAGAGGGCGATCAGTATGGCGGCCGACTACGGGCATCATCAACGCCAAGTTATTCATCGATATTGTGAAGGAGGACTTCAACTAAAACGACATCTACCGACGTCGAATGAATACCAACAGTTGACACGACAATGTTCTTTTTCATTGCTCCAAAGAGGTATGAATCTGATAAAAACTTACAACCATAATCCAACTTTTTGCACTACAGCCAGCCTCTCCGCATGCAACCCCAACAGCACGGATCCCAGTCACATCAAACATATTTTGCAATTATCAAAATAAAGTGGTGCAAGGCATAGAATAATATTTAAATGCAAGAAAATTTTGGTTTTGTGCCAGATAAGCACTGAACAAACCACCATAGACGACCTGGTTACCTCCGTATCTGGCAAAAGCTAGGCTGTTTTAAATGTAAATGGCCAGTCAACTGACTTTTGCACTTAATCCTTATGCACCCTTATATTCGGTTTTGCTTCAGTGATTTGTAATACAGGCATTTCCTGATATTTTAGTTTTCAGTGAAGAATAACTGTTTTGATGGCAGTAAATACAATTTTTAAAACCAAACTAAGCATTCTTTTTTAGGAACTGTCGATGCGTTACACCTTAAAGACTTTGAGGAACGCAAAATGGACGGATTTTTGCATAACAGGAATTTTCTTACGAAACTCTAGATTTTATAAATTATAAAACTTACTGCACAACACCGGAATTATATCATCTTCTGCAAGTTATCATAATAATTAATGAGGCGCCTGGTTTACCAGTCAACAAAGAACATTAAGACACCAAATCTTTAAAAAATGGCATCGAGTACGTTAAAGTGTTTGCTTGTCAGTCTGGCTATTGCAAAAGTAAGACCCAAAAAGAGGATTGTTATGACCGCAAAGTTAAAGAGACAGAAAGAAGCGAGACGCATCTTTTACTTCTAAATGTAACCTACTAATCAACAGAAATATTTGGAGGAATAGAAGGGGAAGTGAAAGGAGTAGGGGTAAATAGCACATTGTGAGAACAGTGACATGGAATGGACGTTTGGCGTTTCATACCGATGAATTTTAAAGCACGTAAGTAAGCCGATCACGAAACGGTATTATAGTCAGAGAATAAACCAAAATATCGAACAGAGAAGGGCTTTACGTACTCTGTGGGCGGAATCCATCATTTGGACGGGCTGGCTTTGGGGGGAGAAGACGCCGCGATCCAGACGCTGCATTTTACTATCTGGTTCTCCATATCCGTTGCGTGCTGGATGCTGTTGTTGTTGTTGCGACTGACGGAAGGCCATCTCGCCACTGCTCCTGCTGTGTTGGAGAGGCTGACCAGGACGTTGAACAACACGAGGGGGTGGAGTTTCGTGCGATCGCTTATCGACACGATAATTTTGCTTGAAAGCAAAGGCAAGTTGAAAGGTATATGTGATTACACAATAAGTAGGTTGAAGGCATAAGATATACGAACTAACATTGAAGAAACGTCAGGCAAGGCGCTAGTTTGGTTCCAAAGCAAACAAAGGGGAAGGTTTAGATAGAGAAGACTGATCAAACATGAGTGCTTGGGTAATATTTTTCTTCTTTATTTCCACATACACCTTAAACTGGAAAATCCTTATCTGTTCGTAGTTTAGGTTTGCATGCCTTTCGAACGGCCCGCACGAGATCTTTAAACACGACGCATCCAGTTCACTGGAAAATATTGGTATTATAAGTATGTATGAATAAAACCTTTGTTGAGGTTAGACTGCATT